CGGCTGCAGCCCATCCTAAGGGAATCTTCACTTCTTTTCCAGGGGGAGATGCTAGGATTTATGATTTGTTCCTGGGTGGAATAGTGCTGCATAGCAGGTGAGGGTGGGAGCCTCCCAGAGCTGCAGCCCGAGAAGTGTGTGGGCAGAGGATACCCTTTATTTTCCCTCTGCTTGCTCGTTTTTATCACACGCAGTTTATTTTGGGGTGCATGCACTGTTGCATGTGATGGGACACAGAACGTGTTAATGTGGAGCACCTGCAGCAACAGGCGGAGCTGCAGGGCCAGGAGGAGGAGGAGGAAGAGGAGGAAGAGGAGGAGGAGGAGGAGGATGAGGACTGCAGGAGGCAGCGTGCGAGGTATAGAAAATGTGATGTGAAAAAAGATGAAGGAATTGAGTTTGTTTAAGTCGAGGGGAGAATGAAGAAAGGGGAGGAGTGACTGCACACAGGTAACACCTTGCTGTAAGGGCTCTTCTCTGAGCACGCTGCAGACAGGACAGGGAGTAACGGACTTAAATTATAGCAAAGATGATGAATACAGCTTAAATAGCGGAAAAAAACAGTTTAGGAAGGCAGAGGGTGAAATACAGAAATAAACTGCCTGGGAGGATTGTGAAATCCCTGTTGTTAGAGGCTGTTTGGAACAGGTTGGACAAGCCCATCAGGAACAACAGGCCGGGTTCATCCCGCCTGCAGGCAGAGGATGGGATAAAAATATCTGAGTCCCTTCAAGCTTTATTTTCAGTGATGTAGCAGAAGGCTGATTGAGCTGCTCAGCAACACCATCAGCTTCAAGACAAAGGGCATTTTTGTTCAGCCAAACATCCATAGGTGCAGGCATGCATTTAATAAAAAATCCGTATTCCCTTCCTAAACTCATCTTTAGCTTCCTGGCTGTATGCTTTTTAATTTCAGAGGATGGTTGAGCCCCCGGAGCAATGATGTTCAGTCCTTTACTGTGTACCATGCTACTGAATTGTGGCTGCTTGAAGCCCAGTGTACCAAGATTCTCTAAGTTCACTGGGCAATGTGGGTTGGGTTTCATCACTGGTGTTAATCACTGGTGAAGTCGCTCACTAATCACCAGTGCTCTCCTTCCAAGCAGCCCATGGGCTGGTCTGGGCATCCTGTCAGGGATGAGGCTCAGTTGCTGGCTGGCAGTGCCAAGGGAGCTGCGTGCTGTGCCCATCACTGCCTGCACACCAAACCTCTGCGTCACACCTGGGCTGAACAGGACACAGAGGGCAAGAAGAGTTCTACGCAGCTGAGGCCACTAATTCAGTAGGTCCCTGCTAATGGCTTTTCACATACATGAAATTGTAAGGGAGATTTTTCAAAGGCACCTAAAGGATTTGGGAGCACAAAGCCACTGCCAGCACTGCTCATGCTGCTAAGCAACAAAGACATCTGCATATATCCTTCTGAGAGCACCCAGCCTCATTAGAGGCAATGATGTAACTTCTGTTATAAAACTGGTGTTGGCTGCACTGCCAGCTTTTTACAAGAGGGTTCTGGATCCCCAGCTCCTCAGTAACCAGCACCCTGGTTGTACAGAGGGACTTGGCTGCTGCCTGTACTGCACACCGTGTGGGCTCACCTCGGGCAGCAGGGGATGGCTGCTGTGACACAAACCATCACACAGTTCAGCAACAAAACACCATTCTGCTGCAGCATACAATGAAAATCAGAATTCAGAAAATTGCTATTTTTGGGCTGTGTAGTGGAAATGCTGAGTCACAGCTTGAAGCAGTGATTGAGCACCTGGTGGAAGGCAGGGCCAAGCCAGGGGAGCTCAGGTGCGTGCAATGAACCTGATTGACTGGAAGGGATGGAGCCAGGATCCTCCCCTTCCCAGCCCTCATTTAAGGGCTGGCAGTGGAGGTGAGGGTATCTCTTTGCTGGAGATCCCTGTGTGTTTGAAGCCTTCTGAAGGCAGGCAGCTTCTTTCCGTTTCAAGGTTCTCACTGAGTTGATGGCTGCCTATGGGGTGCCTCAAGTCATTGAGGGTGACCAAGGGGCTCGTTTAACTGGTGCAGTGGTACAATACTGGGCAGAAGAAAACACTGAGTTACAATTCTACTTGCCATACAATCCAATGGGGGTAGGAGTTACTGAATGCTATATTGGTATTCTTAAGGCTGTCCTGAAGATAGACTCTCAGATCCTGCAGGGATGGACAAAGAGATTCTACGAAACCATGCAGGGCCTGAATAAAAGGCCTAGAGATGGCGGATGCAGTGCCTTGAAGATGCTATGGACAGCATGGGCCTCCTCATTTAGGATCCAAATTATGGGTACTGATAATCAGGTAAGACCCCAAATCAGCAATGACAATAGTCTTCTGCTCCCTACCCCTGAAAACCTAGAATATGGTCCTCATAACATAGAATGGCCTTGGAAGCATGCAAGTAGGACCAAAGTGGTGTGGCCTATGTGCACCTCGGGGGAGATGATTGGAGGTTGGGGGCTCGGTAGCCCCCCTGGTAATGGGTACATGGTCTGCAGACACTGTGGTCAGCACTCTGGTTTTCATCACTAAGAGGACCTTAATTGTGTCCCTATGGCAAATCTGGGCCCTGCCCTCCCCACCCCCTTTTGGTACCCAGTGTGGTTATGCAGCCTCAGGTATCAGCCTGTATCTTGCCATGGAGGGTGGGCCTACCCCTTGTGGTACCTCTGAGACATCCATGGTACCTCAGAGTCTCTTTGAGTCCACAGGATCACTGGCAGGAGCAAAATGACATCAAGATGTTCCAGTGTCACTATAAGATCAGTGTGACACCTGGTGGACTATATGGGACTGATGGAATGCGAGCTGAACTTTCCCTGGTCCAGCCTTCAGACCTACGTGCCTTCAGGAGAACCACAGGGTACTGCCCCACAAAGGGACGTGAACTTCAACTGTGATCCTATCATCAATTATTTCCTGTTTGGTCAACCTACACTACAGTGGGCAAATCGTTCAGAGCAAGGTGGTACTGGATCACCACAATGGTCAGGGCTTACCTTCAACCTGTTCAGTTATTGGGTCATGCTGTGACAGGGTGGAGTGTATGGAAATGCTGAGTCGGGGCCTGAAGCAGTGATGGAGCAGCTGGTGGGAAGGCAGGGCCAACCCAAGGAGCTCAGGTGCATGCAATGTACCTGATTGAGTGCAAGGGTGGAGCCAGGATCCACCCCTTCACAGCCCTTATTGAAGGGTTGGCAGTGGAGGCAGGAGCATCTCATCTGGAGACCCCTGTGTACCTGAGGCCTTCTGAAGGTAAGCAGTTTTTCTCCTTTATTTCTGTACCCACAGCTTCTGCATTTGAACATATCTTCACTTGCTGCAGCCTAGGACTTTGTTATTCTGCTGTTATTCTGCTGTTGTTGCTTTGCTTTCTATCACAGCATTATAGGCTGCTTTGCCTGGAGGTAGTGAGACCAGCATACTGCATTAGTCCAGAGGATGCATAGCACGGATGTTTTTAGGGGCTTCACTTGATCTTTAGATGTTTGGCTGACACTGAGCAATTGGCCCTGGGCATGGAGCTGCTGCTGCACCACAGTTTGGCTGCACCCATCCTAACAAATTAAAAGCATCCAAATGCTTACAAATAGCCACGAGTGAACGTTACAGGTACTTCATGTGCATTCCCTTTTCAGGCCATGACAGTGCTCAGTGAATTTAGTCAGGAGACGTTCTGAAAAGGGAAAGCAAACTTTTCTTTTAATAAAAAAAGAATGACAGCGAACAGCCTGTGGCTACTCAGAACAACTGTCCGTGCCATGCAGCCATCAATTGCTTAACTTCCCAGGAAATGCACAGAGCAGACAGCATCTCTTCCTGGTCATTCTTCTGTTAACTATTTTTAGATTTAATCGTATGACACCTATTGACAGCAAAAGCAATTAACAGGCAGAGGCTAACATCCTGCATGCCTTTAAAAATAGCAAAGCAGGGAGAAAGGACTTAGGACTCAGTCAAGCACATGATGTGAACATGATGGCCTTGGCCTCCCAAGAAATCGTGTGGCAAAATAAAGAATTGTTAGGTGACTCAGAGGAAGGGTCCTGGGTGCCATTTAAGCAAAAGATTGAAGAGAAAAGCCTCTCTGGAGAGCTTAGCACGTCCTGCTTCATTGTTCATCATTCTCCCGCCATGTGTATTTCAGTAAGGAGTGGCACAGGAATGCCATTACACCTGTGTGATTTACAAATCAGGTATCAGCATTGTAGGAGTTCTGTTCCTGGCCATGAGAGTTGTGCAGGGAACCACGAGCACGTTTGGTATCCACAGCAGTCAGGCAGTGCTCCCCAGCATCGGGGATGTGCTGCAGCTGGGGCACCTCAGGAAGCACCCACCCACAAGCACCCCAAAGCTTCCATCACTGCTTCGTTTAGACTCAGTGCACTTGTTACAAATTGGAGGCATGGAAATAGAGGAGCAAGTGCTTTTAAGAGATTTTTAAAGACGTTAACTTCCAGAAGAAGAAACTGCTTCTGTTGCTGCAGAAAGCATTTGTAGAAAGAGCACCATTGTTACCCCTGGGAGCCAGGGGGAGGGGATGGGGACTGGGACACAGAAGGCTGATTGACATAACACTGGTTTGTAGGCAATTGTATTTTTAATTCAGCTTGTCTGTGAGTTATCCTTATAGGTGTACCTTTGCATAAGAGCAAGGTTATGTTTCAGGGTAGCATATTTGAATGAAGCCCCTATGAATGAGAAAGTTAAGCTAGAGCAGCAAAGCTGAGGTAGTAAGGTCCCAACGTGGATCAAAATTCACATGAAAATGAAGTCTTTTGCTGCCCTGACATCAAATGGGATCATCTGGATTGTTATCTACTGTTCTCAGTTTTAAGAGCTGAATGAGAAAGCAAAAAGTTTCAGAGAAAAACCTCTATGAAGGGGTCAGTACATTCCAACCCAGATCTCCTAGGCAAAGGACTGGCAACAGTCTCAGCCCCTTCTGTGCCTGCACAAGTGGTGGTGGGGAGAAATGCAAGAATACAAGGGTTTCCAAATTGCACAAAATGTTTATTGTTAGTTTAGTACATTCAATATCATATTGACCAGAATACAGTAATTCAAAATATTTTTGGCGAATTGAAATCTTTAAAAACCATTTCAAACACTCCAAAAAGCAATGCCATGAAAAATTAACTTTAAATTAAATCAAAGATATTCAAGCCATAGTTTAACTTTTGACTACAGGAAACCTTTACATGTGTTTTAGTGGTTTTAACAGTACTGCATTTAAACAAAAGATATGAAATCACCAAGTGGAAAAATCCTAAAATAGACACAATGTTAAAAAACTGAGGCATCCAAATGTGTGAGACTGCTGTACTACAGATTACTTGCCCAGTGGCTCTGCTCATACCATGGGGCAGCTGCTCAGCCTGCTGCAGTGCTGCTCCACTCACCTGCTAACACTGTACAACTCCTCTTCAGTGCCTTGAAGCTGAAGTTTGTCCCTCCTGTAAATTCTGTTTACAGAAGTATGTAACTTAAAATATGCAACCCCCTGGCAAATCTAGCTGCAGTATTAAGTGGTACCTTGAAAAACGCCCCTACCTTGCTACTCATCAGTGGAAGATAGATAGGCAATATTCAGAACGAAATCTGAAAAAGGCAACACGTTTTGGTTTTGTTTTCAAATACTGACATGAAAAAACTGAGTAAATTAGAAAAAGGATAAAGTCAATCTTAATATAAGACATTCATTATACAGTGGGACAGAGAACAATTATCAGATAAACAGTATTACAATGACTCTTCTACATCTGGTCATTTAATGCACATTCTACAATCGTGACTTGCTACCACATTTTATTTTCCTGTACAGAAGGACAGAAATACAAGTAAAGACCAGTTTTATCCTGTGTTTTCAGTCCCAGAATGACAAGTGACACTGTATCAAGTTCTTTCACCTTTCCTTCCTAGAAGGCTGCTGAGGAGAACCAACAGCCATGGACTCTCCATGCTCGCTCACTGCTGTCAGCTGCTCTGACCTGGATTTCCTCACACATCAGCCACAGCCCCAGGGAAAGCTGCTGGGAACTGGTTTTGTCAGCCAATTTAGAATCCCTTTGAAAAACTGAAGCCTTAATATTACAGCACCAATATACATACTCTGGGGAAATTACCAACTTTGTTTTGCATGGAGGCATATTAGTTGACTGCCCTCATTAACGCTGCTGCGGTCTGATAAGCTGGCTTCCTCACACTGCTGCCCCATTTATTGCACAGCACCGAGGCAGACTGGCAATCCTGAAGAACTAGTTAATGGCAATTTCTTCCAACACACTTCATTTCCATCACAGATAAAGCCAAATTAAGGTGCTGTTTAAGTGGTATTATCGATAAGCATAACAATATCACATTAAAACTCAGCAGAAGAGCATTTATGTGTTAGCTTGCAAAAGTGGTTATAATTACACCTATGCTCCAACCCTTGGAAGAGGTACAATGTTTGCCTGTCAGTACAGTATATGGAATGTAACCATTTCTTGCAAGGTTTTGCAATATGAGTAACTGCATAGATGACAGCTGTTTGTTTTCAGTTCAACAAATGTTTTCAGTTCTGAAGTTTACAAAAGCCCCAGAAAGATTCTATAAAAGTCACATCATCTCAAGATGATAGGTGGTAAAAGTAGATCGTTCAACTGTGATTATGTTCAATAAATGCTAGTGGAAAGGTGACACCGATTTCAAATCAAGAGTTCTATTTTCACTATTGCACTGACTTCATTGGAACCGTTAATTTAGAAAAATTCACGTTGTTAAAAAATCACAAAGTTAAACTAGAATACAAAATTTCTTTGTAAACATCAGGTAGCCAGTTCTGCTAACATGGAATGGACTCTGAGTACTGCAGCACAGTACCCCTGTTAGTTACAGCACTTGCCATCTGAAGGGCAATTCCAGGACATGCACACATCAGTTCACAGTAATTGTGTTCAGAGAACTACCAAAGTCAGTGCAGTTTTTCTGTGCGATTTCCCCGAATTCCTTAAGTCAAATAATACTGTTCCAGAGGCCAAGTGCAGCTCTCCCCCCACCCCGATATATACACGTATATCATAAGTGACGAATGATGTCTGCAGGACTTCTGTAAAGGTACTTCCAAATAGCATAGTAATGAACTGCAGCTGCTGTGGCCACGAACACGTGCCAGATGGCATGGGCAAAAGGAATGACTCCATCACTCTTGAAGAACACCACGCCAAGGCAATAGATCAGACCTCCCCAGGCAACCTCCTCCAGTCCTTCGGTGTTGCTCTGCCAATTAACAAAGACAGATCAGGGATGGAGCACAAAGGAGGCAAAGAACATTTTCTACACAACGTGGGTGTCCTCCTGAAGTCTGGAACCCAAGCTCTTTTTATCTAAACTCTGCAGCCCAGATTCAGCAAAGGGAGGTGGCACTTCACTGAATGGAAGCTATAAATCCAGAGTATAGTTGGCTATATTTGGTTCTTCTGCAGAGAATATTTATAATTATGGTAAACTAAAATTGAGATTTTCTCAGAAGAAACAGAGCTGCACCACAACTTGTCTAAGTCATAAAAGGAAAGTCTATATTTGTAATGTCAGTAGTCACATTCCTTACCATGGATGTCACTACCAGAGCAGGAGAAAATCCCATGGCCAAATAGAAGAAGAGTTCAACAATCTTATACCTAAAAGTGGAACAAAAGTGAGTCATTTCAGGTGATGTACAGGAATATGACCATTTATTTCAACACTAAAGAAGATGTATTCAATCTTACAATAGCATGAGGCCATTAAACTTTTCAAAAAGCTTTCTGCACATTTTATTCTAAAAATAAAACCAATATTTATCTCTGCATGCAGAGATTCGCTAAATACTGCCTAGATGCATTAATTTGCCTTGAGTGCTAGTGAGAATAAAACATTCAGTAAACTTATATTTTTATTTGAGAAGAAACTCAGTAGCTCTTCATAAAAACAAAGAACAGTTGGTCTTGTCCACTGAGAATAAAAGTAATGAAATCAGGCTCCAGAACTGAAACTGATGAATGCACATTTCAAGCAAGAAATTCTCCTCCTCCTACACACAGTATTACACTGCAGTACAACCTGTACATCAGTTCATCTTTCTTACCTCACCCATTCTCACTCCTGCTCTCTTGCAACAAAGTTAAGACTTCAATCCCTCCCCCCACTTTAAGAGAAGACAATTAAATAGCCTAATGACACGTTATCACTGAGCATCTCTGATCAAGATACAACTTTGCATTGTTCTCATCACTTATCTCTGCCATCTCAAAGGTCTTTCTTCAACATGTGAAAGGCCAGACAACGCTTTGCTTTGAAAGCAAAACAAATGCCTCAGTTTAAAGTTAAATGCAAATAACCATTCTTACTTTTCATGGTAGAGAAATACATAAACAGTGCCTCCAGCAGCCATCAGCCAGATAAACCAACGCATGTGAGATGCTAGAGGTCCAAGCTCACGAAGATTTAACCTGGAAGCACAAAGATTTCAACAGACAGGATTAATGAATGAATGGAGCACACTAACACAAGAAAACTGGGGTTCAATATAAATAAATATCCAGAACTATAACTTAGACACGATGGAGGAGAAGACTGTGGGTATGCATAAAGAGGCAAAAGTGTATTTATGTTGATGTGAGGAAAGCACTAAGAAGGATACAGGAATATACAAACAACTTTGTTTTCTTTTTCTAATTACTTTCTGTTTAGCAAATCCCACAAAATCACATGTGTTTTTACAATGTAGAACATGGTCAAATGCAGATATGAAGACTCCTACAGCAACTGGAAAGTTGCAAGGATAAAAGTGTTTACATGGAGTCCTTCAGAATGAGAGGCTTTCTTCCCCCCAGACTTCTTACCACGGTGCATACGATGCTGCAATGAAGACGTAGATCATCATTCTGTCACACATGTGAAAGCAATGCTCCATTGTCCTAGTAAGGGACAGAGAACAAGTCAGCAGGGCAGATTTGAGTATCACTGGGTTTTCCTGACACGTTTTAGAATTACTTTAGGAGAAATACATTTAAAATCATTTGGAAGACTGTCCACTTTGCTTCAACTTCACAAGGCCATAAGCAAGATGCATAGTAGATGAGCACTCGTTTCTCTCCCTTTCTCTATCTCACCAAACGTTCTACTCACACGGAGGCAAAAAGCTGTCACATCAATCCTGCTTAATCCAGAAATGGTTATCCAGTGACTGTGAGTTAAACACTATTTATGGCCCAGAATTACATAGGTGTCATTAAAAATAAAATAAAATACATCACATTTTAGTTTTGCTGTTGCTGCCTTTCTTCCAAGCCTGTTAGTCATGTATCCCATTTTAATTCTCTTAGCCAGCTCTGCATTACTCCAGGTACTTGGAAATGACATAGTCCCAAATAATGTTCTCATGTGTGAGATGGGATTACATCCACCACGCACACAGGTTATGTTCTTCACATAGGTTATGTCCTTCCCACTCAACTGCTAGATTAAAAGCCACAAGGGCTTCATAGATCAACATCAAAACACAGCAAACGTACATCTGTTTGTACATGAGCTTGGTTCACTATTTCTTTCATCAGAATCAAGGGTTTATGTGGTTTTGTTATTCTTTTTTATGATTATGTGATTAAGTACAAGATTCCACTCTGACCTTTGTCTGTAAAATTCCTAATTTTTGGCCACTTGAGAAACACAAAGTTAAAACCTCACAGAACTTGAGACTCAAACATCTATACAAGAGCTACAGCCATACCTTAAGTGACTCTTTTTCCAAGAAACGATATGAAACACTGTGGAGACAATGAAGAGTGCACAGAGCCCCATGCCATAGATCCATGCTGTTATTTTTTCCCATCGATCGTCAGAAAGTCGGTGGAGAAGGGCACTGCCCACAATTGCAGGAACAATGAGGAACTAAAACAAAAAACAAAAAAAGACCATTAACTCTACTCAACTCACAGCAAATGTAGCTGCCACCACTGTATTGCAGCAGCAGGGCAGATAATGCTGCAGCACACCACACAAGAACATATTACACATCTGATGACAGCTGGAAGGAGTTTTCCATTTAGTTGTACATCGGCACACAAGGGTCAAGATTCTGACAGTGTCTCAGACAATGAAGTTATACCTGCTTGTGACAAATTCACTCTTATATGAGATTAGCATATGCTGCTTGCTCCTCTTGAAATGAAAGATTTTTATTTTCACATTTTGCTTTCTATTCCTAAAAAGGTTTTGATCTTAGCCTAAGCTGTGCTCCAAAGCACCTGTTGTGCATAGAGGCTAAGCACAGGACAGACCAAAAGAAACTAAAATAGCAAATGAGTAAAAAATGAATATTTTAACATATGCAGTTAAACAGATGGCAACAGAATTAACAAAGGCTTTGCAGAACTTGGGCTTTATATACCAAATAAATCAGCTGCAGACTGAGAACCATAGAATGGTTTGGATGGGAAGGGACCTTTAAGATCATCCAGTCCCAACCCCCTGCTACAGACAGGGACATCTCCCACCAGACCAGGTTGCTCACCCATCCAGCCTGGCCTTGAATGCTTCCAGGGATGCTTCCATTCACAACTCCACTGGCAACCCGTTCCAGTGTCTCACCACCCTCACAGTAAATAATTTCTTCCTATTATCTAGTCTAAATTTACCCTCTTCCAGTTCAAAAACTATTTCCCCTTATCCTGTTGCTACATGCTCCATAAAAAGTCCCTCCCAGCTTTCTTGTAGGCCCCTTTAGGTACTGGAATGCTGCTATAAGGTCCTCCGGAGCCTTCTCTTCTCCAGGCTGAAGAGCCCCATCTCTCTCAGCCTGTCCTCATAAGGGAGGTGCTCCAGCCCTCTGAATATCTTTGTGGCTCTCCTCAGGACTTGCTCCCATAGCTTTCTTGGCACAGTACTCCAAGTGGGGACTTCTTTTTGTAAAGCTGTTTAATGCACAAACATGAAATCATGTTGCAGTGTATCCCAACCTGTTTTTCTTGCCACATCCCTGCTCAAGCAGCTTTAACTCTGTTTCTCCAGCACAATGTGGAAATGCATTTAAAACTCCTTTTCCAGGTCAAGTTCCATCATCTACCTTTGTCTCATTCAGAAAGAAAACACCAAGCCAAAATAGTATTTAAAGGAAAGAACATGCTGACTCAGACATTTCTACCTGTCTCCTTTGACTATGAAGGAAAATATTTGGCAGCCCATCTGTTAAAAATTCTGCATAAGCTCCTTTTCAGACACTTCACAGGTTAAATTCTTCATTGCTTAACATGCTAAACAAAGTCAGGAAGCAGCAATGTTTAAACAAATATGGCAATTCTGCTTTGCATTACAGGTTTGTTAGTTTAGAGTGCAAAGTTCTGGTCTAGCCAGTACCATCTGTCCTTTATCTACCTGCAGACAAAAAATTGACACTCTCATCACAGCTACAGCTCAGAAGATGAAAAGTGTACTGAATCAATCTGTAAAGCAGCTGGTTAATCCAGAAAAAAAAGAGCTAAAAAAGATAAAAACAATACTTTTTCCTATGGATTTTGAAGTATATTGACTTCATTAACATTAAATTCTCTTCTTTTTTGCAAAGTTTACTACATTGAAGTTGAAAGTTGTACAGTCATACAATTGAGAAGCGTAGCATTTTTGTGTCTACAGCATTTGGATTAGAGGTGAAAACACTTTGAGTTTTGCAATGAGTCCATGGAAGCTGACCTCATGCACTTTAAGGCCAAAAATAGTCTTCCAGTCTGGCTTCTCATTTGTCACAAACCATAAATTTCCATATACATATCCTGGACTGCTCTCAAATTTTAAAAAGGTTAAAGCATTTCACTCCTCAGGAGATTAGTTGCCCCTGTTTTCCACATATGGCATACAGTTTAAAGTGTGGCTAAAGCCCTTAAGACAGCAGGGAACTGATTAGATGTGACAGTTATTTCATTTCATATTTGCAGGAGGCACTTAGATTAAAAACAAAATCTGTTCCAGTCAACTGGACCAAAGTTCTTTAGATTCTTGTGTCGTCAATGGACTTCATTACATCTAACATCTGCCTCAAAGAAAAAACACTAGTGAACAAAGCAACACAGATTTTAATTAGAAAACTCTCTAATGCAAGAATGTATTTTAATCCTAAAACAGAAGCAATTGGTCCTTTAAATGGAGAGGTATTTAACAGAAAAAGTCAAAGAATCAGAACTAATAGAACTAGCACAGTTGTGCTGTGTCATTTGAGGGGAATGACATGGCATGTCTAAGTTGCCAACACTCCTAGTCACAAAATTAGCTAAAATCAAGAAAAGTTTTACTTATTTCATCATGAAGTGCAATTCCTCCAAATAAACATCATAACAAACTCCATGCTAACTGCCATCTGTTTGGGGTTGCTGAGAATAACAGTATTTGGTCAGCATTTTATCTGTATTCTCTCCTTATGTCTGTAGATAGACAATCTTTCCCATAGAATGGCTTAAAAAAAAAACTTTAAAATGACTTTTATATGTAATATTCATACCAAAATTAAGTTATTTTCTTTGCATGTGGGGCCATGTAGGTCACAGTCAGTGATATGCTCAAAGCCATTGTGGCAAAGCACGGTATTACTGTAGCTCTCTCCCACTTGCCTTTCATTGAGAGGGAAATGCTAATACCATAAAGATAACCCCTACACTTCTTAGGAATGGAAGAAGACAGAAAGAGCAATAAGCAGTCAAAACAATTAGGAAAAAAGAAATAATCACGTGATGCTTAGAAGCAACTCGACAAATCGTGCCCATTTCAGTCTTCCTGCTCCAGAAGTGTAGCCCTGAAACCAAGTACAACATCCCTCTACTCATGGATTTTCTCCTCCCAAACAAGGAGACGAGCACCACGGAATGAAAAGCCTACTGGCAACTTGGATTTTTCACTATGCAGAGAATAGAGAAACCGCTACTAACTATCAAACACAGCCAAGGCATTTTCATCATGAGAGCACTTCTGACATTTTGAAGACCCCTCCTTCTATGCACCAATGGCCTGGAAAACACTCCAAGCCTCATTTTTGAGATATTTACACTTTTTGTCTCCCCTCAGCACACACTGCAGAAATTGAGTCTAACTTATTTTAAGAATAGCTCCTCCTTTTAAGGCAATGGAAAAGCTTTGAGCAACATAAAGAAAGTTGTGCCTAAGTTCAAAGGTCTGAATACAACAGAGTGTCCTTTATCTAATAAACCTTACACTAGAATACACTAGAAAGTTTCAGTATGAAAGAGCAACCCAGCAACCCCTCCCCAACTTTGCTTACCTTACATCTCAACTGCTTATTGCTCTTGCTTCTCTCATACACCGTTTCCTTCCTGTTCTTCTAAACACAGTGCTGTCTTTTCTGTCTCTACATTCAACTGCTTAGCTGCCCTTCCTGTCTCCTAGTGACTAAAGACAGCTCAATGCTTTGTTTAAACTTAAAACATATTCCAGACATTTTAAATAGCTTTTCTAGTAAGAAATTTGAATATGCCTTATCACGCTACACAAAGTTAGCTTCATTATTGTTTCCCAAAGCTGTACATAGGACCCTGTATTCCCATTTGCTAATTGTTGTTTTCCAAGCAGCTGCCTAAACAGACTACCACTGCTGAAGTAGAAAACCAGAAGTGATTCCTACCTGAAGAGTACAGTCATTAAATACAGGTTGATTACTTTCTGAATTAAGAGTAAAATTTTGAAAGATCTATGGAAAACCATTACTAAACACTGTTACAGATATATTATATCAGTGTCTAATTGAAAACTGTTGTAGGCTAGCAGTTATTGCTCAACTACTCGACCTTCTAACATGTAGTAAAACAATCTGTTACATATCTGAAAAAAAAAGAAAAAAAAAGCATGCCCCCTAGCTTTTTTGATATAACCCACTCTTTCCCATGTTTTCCCCAAAAACCCATGCTTTCCCAGTTTAGATTCCCATTTCAAGGCTTTACATTTTGATTTTAAAAGCTATTTACTGCACACCATTTCATTTACAGAGCAACAGTTATTATATTGTTTTCTCTAAAGTGGATGTTAACATATCCCCAAGTTACAAACAGTTTGTGGCATGCTGTAGCATACAGCCTGGCTGTTCAGAAAATAATTAGACAAATTCACCATAAACAGCAGCAAACCACAAAATACTGATAGGACATCTTGGCTGTAACCTGCTGCTGTCAGGCAGGAATATCACATGCCTGTTTTTCAGCTAGATGAAGCCTAGAATTGCTGAGGAATACAACAACTTCTGCCAGGTATCTTCAAATCCAACTTCTTGGTCAGGATTTGTACAAGGATTAGGAGCTAAACCACATATTTGTGCTCACTAACAGAACGTTGCTACATTTCTCTAGGCAAATAAGCACATATTTACATAATGCTGTACATGAGACAAGCTTCAGTTAGCTCTTCTACACGTAAACCAAAGTAATTCTGCTCTTACCAGCAACAGTGACTGCTGGAAAACAGCTAGACAGCCGGTGATCCCATTTACTGGGCTGTTATGGCTGAAGCTTGTGTAACCAAACCAGAGAGACTGCAAAAATGCATCCACTTGGGCTAAGGTAAGTATTTATCCATATAGGACACAAATGTACTGAAACCCCTATGTGAGAAAGAAAAAAGGAAATGCACTTACAGCGTGTGTGTAACAGTTAGCAGCATGTTCGTAGCAAGTGGGCTTGTAGCGGCTGTTGGCTGGAGCTGGGTGGTTCATGAACCTGTGGAGTCATTAAGGAGTATTTTTAATAAACTTTTAATAAAAAAAATTGTTGGAATGTCATGGAGGACTATCTCCAACCCTGTAACATTACACATATCAGTACAGACATGTTTAAGGTAACTGTTATTAAAATTCCACGTTTGCCCAAATACGCTCCCTCACCAGAAATACAGGTTAAAACATTTCTGTGATTGTGCAGGGAAGGTAATCTGCAATCCAGACTTCTCTCATTTAATAGAAGACACATACAGAAGTCACATCTCCCTCTTCTCCAACTGTTTGGTAAGAAGAATTGACTATTTCCTATTTTAATTTCATAATAAAGACTTGGATTTTTTCTTGAATTATGGCCTTCATCATCACTGCCAGGGGTTACTCATTTTGAACGAAATTCTTGGCTCTACAGCAACATTCCAGTTCTGCAGCACCTCAGAATAAACCAACTTGAACCTCTTCTCTTTTCCTATAGCAGCAACGGCGCTGCACACAGCATCCCAGCACATTCTGCTGCCATGCACAAGAGATGCTCTCACTTGTAAGCTCTCGTACTGTATTCCAGCGTATTGCAGACTACTGTAAAACTGATCACTGAAGTCAGACAGGTATCCAACAGGGCAGGAGCAGCTTTACAAAGACACCACTGTATGCTCAGAACTGAGAACAGCTTTGTTGGCAATTTTTATATACACAGCTTGTGAGGGGAACCACAATCAAACCCACCACAAGCAGAATGCTACTCTGTGCCTCAAAGGGTCACAGGGGTGCTGTGGGAGCCTTGCAGGAGGCGAGAGGCTAAAACCCCCCAAAACACAAAGGAATAAGGTTATCCTCAGCACTAGCTTGATTATTTCTGTTGTTCAACGTTTCTGTGTATTATCATCTGAAAAAGCTATTAATAATTGAAGGCAGATTACTAATGGGACCTCCTGTTATCCATTAGAGGGCTTTTTAGAATTTTTTTCCTCTTCATTTATATTTATTGAGGAGGAAAGGTGACGGATCCTTTTCACAGCGGGGCCTGGTGTAAGGGAAGGTTTTAGGATGATGAACAAACGTTTCTGGAAAGTCTCTTGTTAGGATCTGGTATTCGTGCAAATTAAGACAGTGTTATCAGCAGTAGAAGAGGACAAAGGCATTAACAAAGCTATCTGTTCCCTATCATCTACACAAAGGGCCTTTTTCACCCTTGTTTGTGCCCTCCAAGAAATATTCTTTTATCTATGTGATAACATTAGCCTGGCAAAACAAACACCGGATTTCAGACAGCTTCACACATGCACCTTTAATTACAAGTAATTCCAAACATCTTCCTTAAATAAAAGGAAAAAAATCAGTCTTGATCATCTCATTCAAAACAATAAGGTTACTGTTGTGACTATTGAACAGAAAGCTCTACTAGACTCCCACAGCCACTGAAACGTTCTTTTCTTCCATTCAGGATCCCATCTGCTGATGGAGTTATCCTTTGATGGATGAAGCAAAGAAGGCATCGGAAAAAAACAACCAGCAAATAGCGAGCTAGTCTCAAAGATCTAATTTTGTTTCTTGTCTTGTCAGGAAGCATGCTTCCTTTACTCAGCTCAAAAGGGCTCACACTTCCTTCTAGCAGCTGCAAACCACACCGTCCCTTTTTATATCATTTTTCCCTCGTGCTCTCCAGCAGCAGGAAGGGCCATCAGACCTCCTGAGCCACACACAGCAGCACAACCCCAGAAACAGCAGCAAGGCGGGCAGAACTCCGCGCAGACAGCAGCGCGCATTCAGTGTGCGTATAAACTGAGATACCAAAGCGATCTGCTGCGGCTCCGTGCTTCCGACAGGAAAAAACACCACAAGCAGGTCAAGACAGATGGGCGCTGCGTTTCAGCGACATCCACGTAGGTCTGAAGAGAAAGAAACGGCTCGACAGTCAGGCTGATGATTATTCTTTTTAAAGCAAATCGGCAGATATCTCCTCTTTGTGAATTCGGCCCGCTCAGCTCCAACCACAGGCACATCCCGTGGCCGCTATCTACCTTGGTAGCTGCCTCACCAACCGAGCCACAGACGTAACTCACGCCGAGGCAGAAGCAGCGCCGCTTCTCCGGAAGCATCAATGAAATCACACCCGCGTAAGGCTGAGAATCCACTGCAATCAGCTCGGCGCTAAGAGCCGAGGCCGGCCGTGCAGGCGGCCGCATCCCCGGCCTCGCAGCGCAGCACAAAGGCGCGGACACGCGGGTCCGTCAGCCTCCCCCTCCGCCCGTCCCCTTCCAGTTTTATTTCCCTTTTAACGCTCACGCTTCGGCTTCCCGAGCAAGGCGGGACGGGCGAGCAGCGCAGCCCCGCAGAGGCGCGTTTACCTGCGGGGAGAAACCCGGCGGGCAGCGGCTCTCAGCTCCGGAACGGCGCCGGGGAGCCGAGGCAGCTCCGCACGCCGAGCCGGGGGAGCCGAGAGCCACAGGTCGGGGCACCGCGGCGCACGGGCGGCTGCGCGGCCCTTCACCCAGCGGGAGGGGGAAAACACACCGCCGCCACGCCGACCGCGGGAGCCGCGCTGCCCCGACACCACAACGCGGGGACGGAGGGGGGGGAGTAGGGGAGCGGGGGGTCCCTCACCTCCGGAACCGCTCCTGGAGCCGCCGCATGGGTCCGGGCCGCCCGCCCCGGCCGGGCGCTGGGCGGGGGGTCGGGACGGGAGGCTGCGGGCGGCTCCTGAGGCGGCGAGGGCCGGAGTCCGGGCCCTCATTGGCGTGCGGGCCGCCGCGGCGCGGAGCGACGGCCAACGCCGTCCGTCGGAGAGGAGCGAGAGCCGGGCGAGCGGCCGGCCGCTTTAACCGCCCTCCGCGCTCCCCGCAGCCCGCCCGGCCCGCGCCTCGGCCCGCCCCCAGCGCCCGGCCCGCCCCCAGCGCCGAGCCCGGCTGAGGCGGGACCGCGGCGGGGGACATGGCGGCCCGCGGCGGGGCGGAGCCGCGCCTCAGGCGCCGCGCCTCTGCGATTCACCCGGAGCGGCCGGCGGCTGAGGGTTCGGCGATGCGAACGGGCCGATCCTTGGAACCGGAGAAGCGGAAAGGGCCGTTCCGTGAGGGAAGCGGGGCGCTGCCGTGGTTGCAACGCTGCCGAAAAGCGGCGGCTCAGTTCCCGGCCCCGGCTGTACGCCGCTGGGGGTCCGTGTCTGCTCACGGCTGTCCGAACCAGGGTCGTGTTGCATCAGTGAAGAAACGGTGCTGAGAACGCTCCCGTAAGCGTGGTATTGCCTATGTGGGACAAATCGGGGCATCGCTGAGGAGAATGTTAAGTTCTGTTCGAGCTTGTGTGTCGTAATTTAAGATCTTGTTTACAATGGGATCCGAACAGCTCCAGCCCTCGACAACAGCAACAGTGCAGGCACAGCAGAGCGAACCGCCGTTAGGCAAACCAACCATCCGGCACGGCAGCGTGCGCGGTACGACGGAGGCAGATGGGAGCCGCAGGAGTTTTACCCCAGCTGAGCTGCCGCCTCTGCCTGCCGGGAGGAATCAGCGCCGTCACTTGGCTGGCGGTCAAACTAAATCCGATCTCCCGCGGCCGTGGGTCCCTTTTACTAAATCTTCCTCCACATCGTGAGCGAGCAAGCAGTGAAGTGGTAACAGCGTTGTAAACTGCCCCCACGAGGCGAGGAGCTTGTTAATAAGGAATGTAACTTGTTTTCTCGTTGAGCAAAAGGAATTTAGTTCTTATCAGTGTGAGGTATTTGTAAGATGGGTTTTACAATCCCTATTTGATACCTAATAGAAGGTGTTTGCATAGCAAATCTGTTCTAATGGCAGTTCTTGACAGTCTCGGAAGTGAAGTCAATGAATAGAGGAGCTGTGTGGTTTGCCCTTATTATTTCTAGGTCAGATTTTACCCATACAGAAGCTCCTGCAGAGCCTCTGGGGGAACTATCTACTGTCTAGGGACAGAGAAGTTCATTCTTCTGGATTGTTTAAGCCAGCGCTTTTATGAGCATTAAATTGGCACTGAAACATGTGTCATTACTGAATCAGAACTTGGGCAGCTTCTATAGGATTATGCAAATAGGGACACAAACATGTGGTCCGTAGCTACAAAATTTGCAGTTTTCATTCTATTACAAGAACGTCTTGGGTTGCACAAATTATCAATCCAACAGGTGAGACTTGCTGGAAGTTTGCTTTTACCCAGCCAAGGTGAAATTTTAAGGGCCACATGAGATGTCAGTGGTGAATCAGATTCTGTCAGGAGGTTTCGCTAAACATCTCACACAAGAGCCGAGTTTCTTACAGCCATTTAGCACAGATAATAATCAGCCTGCATAATACCTAGCCTATTGATTTGTTGAACAAATAACAGACAAGCATAAATCTGTGCTACCAAATGGATCTACCAGTGATATTGCTAAGTAATGTTCCCAGGTACATACTTACTTTTCGGAGCTGCTGGTGGTGACGGGCTCTGTCGGAGCAGCAGAGAGGCACACTGTGGCTTGAGAAGTTCTGAGTCGATGTAACACAGCAGAGAGGCGAGCCGAGCAGCGCGGGGCATTAACGAGGCATGGGAAACGAGTCTGACAGGTGCAACTCCTCTCCACTCCCAGTCTACGCACTTCTGGCAAGGGAAGAGAAAAATATCTTTTGCTTTCTTCTTACTTTGTAACAAATCTGAGAATCTGGACTTCCTCTCTTGGGAGTCTTTGTGCTAATGGAGGAGGGTGGTGGTTTCTCTGAGGTTTGATTTAGAAGCTTTAAAGATAAAGCTCCTTCCCTTTCTCAAGTTTAGAGAATAAATTCTGAAAGAAGCGTGGTTGTCACTGACTGCTTCATACATGGTAGAAATGCAGTCTGAAAAAGACCTTCTTGGCTGGTAAAACCTAATTTACTGACACAATTCTGGAAGAAAATCCTATTCTTCAAGTTTCTAGTACAAAAATTGGTTTTGCAGTAACACAACCTGTAGGACAACAACAGGTCCCAAGTGAGCCCAAGGCAAAACTCAGTAGCTCAGCATGCTGCCCTTGGCCTGTGCTCAGGCACACCCCTGTAGTGCTGCAAAGCAACTCATATTCCCCAGGGAGGCATAGCATGTGTGGGAACACGTGGCTGCAGAACACCCTGCGCTGGGGCTCAGCGTGGTGCAGCCTCCTTGGGCCAAGGCTCCTGCACAGCACATAACATCTCTCTTTTTTTCTTGCTGCAGACTGGCTCAGATTGCTGCCTTTCCTGACAATCTTTGTGAAGGAGAAGAATCTTGTACCAAAATGCATGTCAATGGTCTTGCGAAACAAGCACCTCTCCCTCCCTCGGCCTTCCCCCAGCCTAATTAATAAGGTCATCCTGCTGAAGGCAGCTTATAAATAGCTTTCCAAACACTAATGGAATTAGTTCTGCCCTGGACAACATCTCCAGGGTGACACTGGCTCCTTGGCACACGGTAGAAATAATGTTGAAGCACAAACATTTACCTGATGTCACAGCCCTCTTGCTGCCAGCATTAAACCTGAAATGAGATTACAGTGTTACTTAGTAATATCAGAGAAGATTTACCACAAGTAAAACAAGTGATGTTAGAGGGCTGTGCCTTGTAGTAGATTAGGTTATGCTAGATAATGAAAATCTACTGACAGTTTCTTTCTGTCAGTATTTCTGATAAAAGGGTATTTTTCATGGCCACAAACCCTCAAGATTTTGCAGGATCTATGTTGGGGAACAATATAAAGGTACTGTAGGTTGGGGAGAACCTTTAATATGAGGTCAATCAGTAGGAAATGACTAGGGTAGCTATAAAGTCTCAGAATAGAGCAATGTCTTAAAATTACTCAGTTACTTAAATAATTTGTTAAGCCATTGAATCCCTGTGGAAGCAATGACTGAATTAAAACTTTAAAATTTTGGAATTTTCTATTAAAAAAACCCACACAATGGAATATGTAACAGAAAATATAAACTTACACCAAAATACAAAGAGAAAATGTGCCAGTTGTTCTCAGATGGAGGGACTTCAAACTAGTGAGAATTAAGCTTCTAAACAAGATACAGACATTATTATGACGTTATAATTTCATTATCTATTTGACTAATGAAGTTCAATTGTGTCTTCAGGAAAATAATCCAGAAACTGTTATTTTGCAGTCATTTGGCCTGTGCATCAGATGACAGTCCTGTTTTAGGTAGTAAAATCGCACAGATTTCAAAATACAGACCTAAAAAAATAAAGTCTAACTTGATATTAATCTTTTCCAAGAACATAAATGGCTTTAAGAATTATATCACATGACATTCTTGATTGTAAAAGCACAGTTTCTCCTATTGTTGTTGAGGCTATTTATAAAATACAGATTTTTTTCCTTATTGTGATCAGCAAAGTTTCATTTGGATGCTTGATGTGCCTCCCATGTACTTCAACCAGCAATGTTTTCTAGCAGGGCTGAGATAAGAAAACTTTCTTTTGGAGTGAAACATTCCCCCTTACAGATGTTAAGTGCTTAGATGAAGAAACCACAAGGCCTGGAGATGCTCTGTGTGACTGAGAGGAGATTACAGTGACAGGGAAGGAGGGGAGGTCTGGCCCTGCCACAGCCACGCACAGCTCTGAGTCATCAGCTGATGATGGCAAAGAACTTGGATTTCATGAAGTGAAGAAACATCCTGCTTTCAAATATTGATTCTGTAGTGTTTCCTTTGTGAAGCGTGAGTCATTGTGCCCCAGAATCTGGGGCCTGTTTAGAAATAACAAATATCTTGTTTGTTTTGGCTTTTAGTAATTGGACTGAAGAGGAGATGATCAGGGATGTTAGCCTTTTTCTTTTCTTTTTTTAAAGCAAAGCATTATGCGTGCAGAACAAATGACTTTTCTTTTATATTTTATACATATACTCATTTTTGGTGTCTCAGAAGTAAATGGATAACATTCACACTGATCCCAAATCCAGAAAACAGACCTACCTTTAAGTCCTTTTCCTCAGGCAAAGCAGAGCATCTTTAATCAACGTTCATGGAATTTATGTGCAAAAACATTTATTCTCCTTCTTTTTTCCCACCATTGTGTTTTTCCCTGCAGATGTGCCTGCCATCCATCATGACTCTCAATATCTCATTTTTGACATCACAATCAATGAAGTGAAATAAGCTGTTACTTAATGGGCCTGACATAAAATCCATTTAAGTTAAAGGAAAGACTCTCATTGTTTCCTATCAGCTCTAGGTCAAACCTAAAGAGAGCAGAGGGAGCGGAATTTACCCTGTCATTTGTCATCTGAGAGGAAATGGTTTCCATATCCCATTTGGACCACTTAGAGATTTTAAACATATTTAGAAAAAGAAAACAAATTGATTTCTTGTCAGTAGATAAATGGTTGAAACTTCACTCCAATAGGATATTCTCTCATTTTCAGATTTTTAAGATTAGTTTGCCTGAACTGCATGATTTTTTTTTTTTTTTCTCAGTATTTTAGAAAAATCAAACACAGGAGTGAAAGCCAAGATGAACAGAAGCCAGCTCTCCTGACCAGGTGTCCGACTGCCCTGTGCAGCCATGAAACAGCAGCATAGGAGCCTGCAGCCTCTGCCCTAT